TAAAAAAAAACAAACGAAAAGTGAAGTAAAGGAGTAAAGGAGAAAGGAATCATCCTTGGAAAAGTCTGATTACAGTGTTGTCCTGGGTTCAGCAGTAGCAGTCATGTTTCTTCTTCTTGGTAGCTGGTGCAGTGCAGTGTTTTGACTTTCAGCCTGGGAACAGAGCTGATAGCGATGTTTTGGTTTGGCCAAGGACTTTGTGAGCCTCATGCTCTGCCAGGGAGGAGGGGAGGCCAGGAGGAAGCAGAGACAGGACACCTGACCCAAACTGACCAAAGAGGTATTCCATACCACAGCACGTCATGCCCAGGAGGTAACTGGGAGTTAGCTGGAAGGGCTGGAAGACTGCAGGGTTGGAGGAGGCATCGGTCAGAGCTTGGTCGGGCTGGGGGGGGCGAGTTATCGGTCGGCTGGTGGTGAGATGATGTATTCTCTTCCCTTGTTATTTCCTTTATCATCATTATCATTGGTGGTAGCAGTAGAGATTCGTGTTATACCTTAGTTACTAAACTGTTCTTATCTCAACCCGTGGGAGTTGCATTCTTTTCGATTCTCCTCTCCGTCCCTCCGAGAGCAGGGGGAGGGCAAGAAAAGGGGGGGAAGTGAGCGAACAAATTACCTGACTGGGTTTAAACCAGGACAAGTGTGATATTCAGATTCTTTTAATTAAGGTTATGTGCCATTTCCACAGACTTTTCATATATACTATGAAGAGCTTATCTTAAGTAATTATATTTTGTTGCAATCCATTAAACCTCTTTCCCCTCTAGATACAAAAAAAAAAAGAAGGTGAAAAAAAGATGGAAATTAAAAAGGGACTTCGTAAAAGAGAAAGCACTGAATCATGTGGAGAAAATGCAAGCAAACAGAACTTTAAATATTGAAACAAATGAGACACAAAGAAATTTTGAAATTGATTTCAAAGAATTCCATGAAAAAACATTCTCACTGGTGTTGAAGATTAATCCATGCATTTTTATATTTACACGGTCTCATGTATAGCTTCTATATTCTGTTCCAGAAGCTGTGATTTATAACTTATTTTAGTGGGAACTGAAGTTTAGTTGCAATGGAATTATTAAAGAAGTGGAAGGGTGGAAAAAAAGAAAAATATTTATTCAACAAAATGCTTTCAATCAGTGCATTATATTTATTCTCTAAAGTGACAAGTATTGCTCAGGAATGCAAAAAAAACCAAACAAGCAAACAAAAACAAATGCATGCGAGCCTATGCTGCCCTTCAAGTCCCACAGTTCTACTTCTTCCTCTCTTGCTTCTATCCGGCTCCTCTTAGAGCTGTGCCTCCCTTAAGTTCCAAAGACTCACTTTGGAAAAAGATACAAGGAAGCTGTGAATGCTCCATCCCTGGACGTGTTCAAGGCCAGGCTGGACAGGGCCTTAGGTAACATGGTTTAGCGTGAGGTGTCCCTGCCCATGGAAGGGGGATTGGAATTAGATGATCTTAAGGTCCTTTCCAACCCTAACTATTCTATGATTTTATGATTATGTTCTTACAGTGCCTTCTCCACCTTTAGCAGTGTTGTGCACACTGCTTACCTAGCCTGGAATGATTCTGCTTAGCTTGATGCAAATTCCAAATTTTATTCCAAACAAGACAAGAGCCATGATTTGGGTATGGGTGCTTTGGAAGAATCATTGAATTCTGTCCTCCCTGTCCCTCACTGTGTAAATTCAATTTCCTCTGATATCACGAATAGAAAAACCTACCTTATTTTTCACTATGATATATTTGCAAAATGTATAAGCTATTACTTGGAAGTTGGAAATACCATATATCAAACAAAAACAACCAAAGAATAAAACTTCACACTTCTCATGTTTCATGCCAATGATCTACAGAAGTATGAAAACATCATAACCTGAACGGTATTCAGAGACCAAATATGGAGCCGAATACCTCCTCTTCCCCCTAGTTTTAGTTCACAGAAACAATGTATTCATACGCAAAATCAAGGACAGGACTTAGTAGATATATCTTTACATATGTTGCTTTTATATAGCAGCTTGCCATAAAACTTGGCAGACGTTTGACTTATTTCATTTAACTTTTTCAAAACATGAAGCTTTTTAAACTGCTTTCTTTCAAAAATAATCACCACTACATGTAGATAAAACCATTGTTTCTTATTCTTTGTAAGCTAATATACGTGCAATTTATTCTTTGTCACCTTGTAGAAACAAATATCTTCAAAGTAAAATGTCTGCTTTTGTTTTGGGCATAAAGTCTGTTTTTTCTTCACTGTGTTTTATGAGGGTAATTCTCCCTCAGGTGAATAGAACTGACATCCTATATCTGAATTTCCTCTAAACCCCTGTGTGGGGTAAATGCAGCCCACAAACTTAATAGAAGACTAATTAAACAACAGACAAATGAAATAAGAAAAAAAAATTGGTTTTTTTTTTTTTGTTTGTTTTTAATATCTTCTCATTTCTATTCCTTTCATTTGACACATCTTACCTAGATTCCATCCTGTGACAAGATTCAGCATTCTCAGTAAATGAGCATATCTTTTTTTGCCAACTGTCAGCAATGGTTTTACCCTTTTCTTACACCTATGCCTAGTTAATTCTGACTGGTGAATGAAACATCACCTCTTCTGTATTGCTAGAAAGCCAGTGAGAAGCAGCATCAACAGAAACCTGTTTTTCAGGTGGTAAATGGTAACTTATCACTGAATTCCAATTACGCTTCTTCAGTTTCCACACACTTTAGGAGAGCATTTTTCTCCTCTTCCCATTTGACTATTTTACATCTGCTATACCTCACCCTGTGCAGAGCTGATGTCAGACCATGAAACAGAGTAGGTTACAGCCACACTTACTAAACAGTAGCTTTCCCCAAAAATTCCAGTTTCTTAAAAACAAACCTAACCAACCAACAAGGCATGATAAGTACATGATAAGTGCAGAAGGTATGAAAATGTGGTCTTAGTTTATGTTGATTCCAGCACTCAAATCTAACATCAACTTTAAGACAAAGGAATCAAGCTTTGCCTAGCACAGGCAAAAATGGCTGAGCAGCAGAGAGAAATTTTCATTAGCTTGGTTTTGATATCTAATTTAATAAATAATTAAATAATCATTACTAAGAACATAGTTTTAACAAGGAACCTTAATCTGTATATTATTGTGTAGGCATGATTTGAAAAAAAAATGTTACCCTATCTAGCTACTACAGAAGCTGTACAGAGCTTGATAAATTGTGTGGTTTCTATATTTCCACTCTGATATAGAAACTATATTACTTATACTGAAGTGGTTAGGAGGAGATAATTCTCAAGAAGTTATTAAGACATCATACTCAAAAGACTGATAAGTAATTCTGAATAAACTCACAAATAGTGAGCTGCTCAGATAGCATACAAAATACTTTTTCCATAGAGTACAAGGCCTTCTGACTGTGTCAAGATGGACATAATGGATGAGCAGTTTTCCTGTGTTATTTCAGACGCATTCATTTCATATTTTAAGGTCTGTGATATTAAGGCGGTTTGTATTCATTTGGAACCAGCTGATTTGACTGACATCTAGACATAAAGACAGTAAACAGTAATTCAGTGTTAACCAAGGTACCAGAGTTCATATATGCATCAAGCAAAACTGCTCCTTTTACAGATCGTGCTGTTCTCTGACATGGCAACACTGTCTAGTCATGTTTTCTTATAGTAGTACATATGCTGAAGAATCTCATTTGCTCACTCACCATCTATTGTGTTCTGGACATGAGATTACTGAAAGTCTAAGAAACAGCTGTAGGGCTGGTCAGAATTTACTCTCCTTATTTTCAAGGAAAAAAACATGTTAAAAATACATGGCAAAAAATACAGACAAGGGTTTTTCAATTCCCAGGTAGGAACAGTTGCTAAATTTTCTTATATCGTATGAGGAAAAAAAAAGAGAGATAACTTTTCTCGAGATGTCAAAATTTTCTTTTTAAAAGAAGGCAATTTGGGGATTAAAAAAGAATCTGTCAACTGAAGGCATATTTAAGGCAGCCTTAAGGTATTAATTTCATAATGAAAAATCTAAAATCGTTCTAGGGTTGTTTTTTTTTTTGTTTGTTTTATTGATTTATTTTTATCATTAACAGGATACATTAAGGATATAAAATTTCACGTGTTTATTTTTTATTTTTTTTCTTACCATTCAGGACTTCTCAGAAATTGTCTTGGCCTGGAGCTAATACTGATGTAGTACTAAGGTCTAAATTATCTCATCATAAATATGTCTTCCATAACAATTACAGAAGTGTTACTGTATTTCACAGTTCTTTACTCTCAAAGGATCCATATTTCTTTTTGAAAGCACAAGGAATCCACAATGAATACTTGAATTATTGTTCAACATTTACTAAATTATTTTCATTTAAAAATTAGTTTCTATGAAAAAAAACAATAAATTTTGCAAAATCATTCCACAAGATTTTGAGTGTTTTTTTCTTTTTTTTTTAAATGAAGATAATTTTTATCATATTTTTCAGCTGACTGTAAATATTCAGCACCAGCTTGTTGACAAAAATTAGCTTTTGTAGACAGCTGTAAGAAAAGGAAAAGGATTTATTTAGTGTCTCTCAAAACATGTAAGGACATAAAACAATACCTTGGGCATGTGATTTTTCTCAGTGCAAAGATTTTATGATTCTTGAAACTAAATTATTTTAGGGATAAAAAGGCTGGAGGGTAAGAACCAGACTGTATAAACTCTCTTCTTTGGCTAACTTTTGTGACTACTCTATACTGATCACTTGTTTTCCTGACTAATCTCTAAACAGAGGTCATACCCCTTTCAGTTGCAAAATAGTTTCACACAAAATGAATTACCTTCCCTCCACCTTGGTTACTTGCCAGAGAGTACTTTATTTTTCCACTATGAAAAAGAAAATCAGTCTGTATTTTGCTTGCTAGAGCTTTCTGCATTTTAATTCTGAACTCTGAATGAACATCAGAGAGGCCTTATGATGTTTTGCACAAAAGTGCCTGTGTTCATAGTTTTACTGAGGGCACCCAAAATAGCATGCAGTAAGCAGAGAGTCTGCAAAACTAAAGCAGAAGTGACTTATACTGGCAGGAAACTGTAACTCCTAAAGCTTTCCAAGGATCTGTGAAGAGAACTGCTTACTTCTCTGCATCAGATGTTTAATTCAACTTTTACAATACCTATATCCTTAAACCTAGAAGGCCCTGGGGTTACACAGGTAAGAGATTTTTTTTTTTTTTTCTTAATTATCTTCAAAAGTAAAATTTAGAACATTTAGCTGGGTGTCTCCAGTCCAAAAACCACAACAGACAAAATCAGAAGCCACTCAAAACCTCTAGGATAAGAAATCTGCCTTTATTATTTCCTCAGAATCCACTGACTAACTTCTATAGCTGTGGAAATCCAAGTTTTTACTTTGGATTTCCCAGATAAACTGCTTACTATGCCTGTTTTGTGCCCAACTTGCACATTAAAATGTTCATGCTGATTATCAACATGTTTTTGCAAGTCTCCAGTCTCTGACAGACTGCTCACGGCTGCTTCATCTGCACACATGAAAGTGATCGTCATTACAATGTGCTTACAATTTCTGAAAGTGATGATAAGAAGAGTGAAAAGTTGTTTTTTTACAGGAAGACAGAAATAATCTCTGCCTTGCTACTCTCCGGTCTACTGTAGCATTTTTTTTTTTTTTTTAATTTACTCTTAAGCTTAAATTCACATTTCTGTTCCCATTTCTCTTTATAATTCCACATCTAGAAACTGCAATGTTTTCAGATCACAAAAAGGGATGCTTCTACTTTTGTTGGATCTCAAGTGTAAAATGGCAATTTCTTAGTAAATAAGATGTTCAAAGAGCAGTGCAGCACATATATTATCAAAATATTTGCATGTTTCTTTCATAAGCCTTCTATTGAAAGGTATTGCTACAATTTATTTTTCATGTTCAAACTCCCCAATTAGACTGTAGTCAGTAACAACTAGTAGAATATAACCCACAGATATTTAATAGCTATTGATTGGTTATTAAGATGCTGAATATCTGTCAGATTGTTCAGTTTGACAAATACTTTTGATATGAAACTGGTAGGAATTACTTAGCTTCTGGATTATATAATTATAGTTATTTTAATAGATTGCAGTATAGACTCAGTTGTGGTTACGAAAGCACACCAAATAAACTACTTTTAATTTATAATATAATATACTCATTCTAGGTGCAAAAGTTGTAATTTTTTTAGGGCTTGTGTGATACATTTCAAAGTTCAGCATTTTACCTTTAGAAGTGTTGAACCAAGCACCAAGTAAAATGAATAAAAGGCTGTGGCTGGACTTCAGACTTTCTACATTTTAACAGACTAAAAAATGCATTGGTATAGGAGCTAGCAGCTAATGAAAATCCGTTTTGGAATTATTTTAGGTAAAGGAGGAAGGAAGAAAGAGGGACTTTCCCACAAAATATTCTAAGAAAAGTAGCTTAAAATTGAAGAACAAAATTACAAATCTGCTATGTAAATCCATGTATTTTTAGAACCAAAATGTAACTATTTTAACCCACTGTTAAAATGTATGAAACTGTAATGCACATTTTATATGCTAAAATGTAGAATATTTTAAAAAATAACTCAAGATGCTGCCTTTCTGTTTCAGATTGCTTTACAATTACTAACCTGAAGCAATTCAATATCAGCACATTTTTACGTTGAAAAAAGAAAGCAATATCTGATATGCTATACAGAAAGATTTTAATGGTGCTCTTGGTTTAAGATACTTGTTGCTTTTTATTATTTCTGTTAACTTTATTTCCTTTGATACTTTATAATTCTGCAGGGTGAAATTTCCATTGTGCAGTCTTTGCATCATACTCACTATAAATATGTTTGGAAACTTCTAGTTTAGCTTAATCAGAAAGATTTGGCTATTTCTTCTATTAGTTTAATTTAAAACAAGTAATTTTGCCAACAGTTCTAATCATACAATAGATAATACTGAATTAAATTGTTGTCTTCTAATACGTAAAAACAATCCTTTTCATTTTACTTTGTAAGTCAAAGAAACTCTTGATTTTTTACCACAGACATAAGAAATGGATTACACCGCAGTCCCCTGGTTTTGTTGTTTTTTTTCTATTTCAACTATGTTTACAAGCCTTTTTGAGTCTACATGATATGTAGAATGATTACATGATATGTAATAGAAGAAAGGTACAACAGAATGTCTGTCTTCTCCATCCTCTCAATATTATTAACCTAGCAAAAAACTTCTTTCTGAAGATGAATGGATTGAGAGCCAGAAAGCATGTATGGCATCTTCATCTATCTTGGCTAACCTCAGAATTGCTAGAGGTTTCATTCCAGACCCTGCTAAGTAGACAAGGTACATATCCATTACAGAGGAAGCTGATGAAGGTGGAGCAATGTCAACAAGACCATATGGGACAGACCTGGGAACATAATTGTGATTTGGATACACAGATCCAGGTCTTCTCTCTGCATCTTCACTACCTGTAGCATAAAAGGAATTGCAATTGCTGTTGCTAACAAGCTGAAACTGTTAACAGTGTTCGTAGATGGATATTACTTCCAGGCTTTCTATCAGGGACTCAGACACAGTGAAGACGTTGTATATGGAAAGTGGTATTAAATTAAAATCCCTCATTCTCAGGTCCCTGACCTAACTTTTAAGTCTCACTCCTTTTGAGACAACAAAATTAGAAACAGTCATTAGAAATGTAAAGTATATTCAGTTGGACAAAAAAAAAAAAAAAGAGGAGAAAAAAAGAAAGAAGTAAAACCCCAGTAAAAGACACTGTGTCTGCAAATATAGCACTGGAACCGAAAATACAATACCTGAAATGAGATTACTAAGACTATCTTCAGAGGGAACTCTACAGTTTATCTGTTCAGATGCAGTGTTAAATTTGTGGAGGACAAATTCTTTCTTTTCATTGGCACTTATTTTTTTTTTAATTATATGTGACAGTTGTGGCAACCTTAAAATTGCTGACTACATATTAGAGGAAGTATAAGCTCTTACTTAGCATTTTCCTGGTTTACTTTTTACATAGAATTATGACACATTGGAAGCCAAACACAACCTCATACAGTAAATTATAAAATATAAATAATAAAAAGAATACCTGAATTCAGTGTGACTGAGCACTGCCTTTACGAATTTTTTCTAACTTAGATCTAGCCAGGATAAATATCTCTCTGCAAAACAACTCTTTTTCAGTATTTTACAGATCTTTAAGGCAGCCAGTGGTAAATTACATGGGTAATTAGCAGTTTGAAGTTCTTGAAGTTTTATTTTCGTTGACAATTTTCTGTTTAAGACCATTTTTTGCAACTATATTAAGTAATATTTAATATTGTAATTATAGCAACAAATATTTTCAATGGCTGCCCCTTATTCTCATGCAGCTAGAAGGTTTGTGGCTTTTCATTGTTAGCACTCTGATGGTGTAGCTAAACTAAGGGGTACTCTTCAAATATACAGAGTGCAAAAATTAAAAAGGATTTAAAGAGACAGTGCTTGGCAAATGGTAAAGACACTATGGTTGCACACTCCTTTCCCTGTAGAGAGCCTTTTTAGAATGGTGAATAGAACATGTAGAATGTATGGAACAATTTACATAGCTACATGGTAAATTTTTCCCTCCTGAAGTTGATAAATTGAAGTCGGATATTGTCATCTGTCAAAAAAGCGGTCAAAAAAAAACCTGCAAAGAAAACTGTATTTATTTAGTGATTCTTTAACAATTTGAAGTTGTTTAATGAGTTCTAGATATCCCAAACAGAATTTATGTATTATATTGTTTTTTAAAGAGATTGTGGATTCCTGGGTGTCGTCACAAGTGAGCAGAGCTCACTTTCTAGGAGTTTTACCTGTGGGAACTAAGCACAGTAACCAAAACCTAACTAGATGTGAATTTTTGTTCAATCACTATGAGAGTGGTGAGGCACAGGCACAGGTTACCCAGAGAAGCTGTGGCTGGCCCATCCCTGGAAGTGTTCAAGGTCAGGTTGGATGGGGCTTTGAGCAACCTGGTCTAGTGGAATATGTCCTTGCCTGTGGCAGGGTGTTGGAACTGGATGAGCTTTAAGGTCCCTTCCAACCAAACAATTCTATGATTATATGTTAATTAAGCTGTGATTTCTGGATGTTTGGAAGCCCTCTGAAAATTTCAAGAAAACTATCAACAGACTTCATAAATAAAGATGAGAAAATCTTAACACAGCAGCATGTAAGAATTTATATAATCCAAAATACTGTAAATATTCACATATTTTCTGAAATTTACTGAAAACAGTCATACAAGCACACATGCCCATATGCAAAACCATCTTCTATGTTACATGTTGGCAGGAAGAGTATGAATGTAGAAACTCCTACGGAAGCTCCCTAGGGACCTCATGCATTTCCATGTTTTTTTGTGAAGATGGACACAGACTAGGGGTAGTTCTAATTTTATTTATCTTTTAACTTATCCTTGACGTTTGATGTGTTATGTAACAGGATTTTTTTTCCTCTAAATGGTGCAAATTCCTTCTCTCTTTCATCCTTTAGATGAAGAACACCAAAAGAGACCTTTGTACTAAGGCCCATGAGCTGAAACAATGGGTCATGCTGATAATGCCCTTTCCAGGCATCTCAGCTTGTCATGGAGCCTGCAGAAAACTAGAGTGAAAGAATAAAGGCAAGAAGGATTCATACCAGTACACTGCAAACTATAAAACCTCTATATTTACTAACAAATTGGAAAATAGTGCTAGTTTCAGTTACTGCCCTAGTCATCTACAAATAGCTGATGTCTTTCAAATAGCTCTGTCTTTCTCCGTGTGATGCAAATAGCTGTCAGAGAAGATTAAGCTCATTTCTGGTGCTCTATTTATGGATTACTGTGTTATATATTGGCTGCACCAAAATTTACACTTAACAGTAATTCCCAATGGTAGATGAGCTAGAATGATTTATGCTACTTTATACCCCATGAGATGCCCCTAGGAAATAAAAAGATATTCCCAGGCAAATTAAGATGACAACCAGACTTACAGAAAAAAAATGCATTGTTTTTTTCCTAACATCGAATTTAACATATAAATTGAATTGGTTTCAAATGCCAGATCATTAGATAGCTGGTGTACACAGCTCTTTTCATAAAAGACTGACCCAAGAAGTGTATAAATAGTATTTGGAAATGTCACATAAAATGTG